TATTACCGTATATACTTTCATATGCATTTAGTAAAAAGCTGTAATTTTGACATTACAAACAGTCACTTCAATTTTATTTATTTTTATAGATTAAGACTGTAGTCCTTGAGCGTGGGAACTTCGAATAGAACACCTACATTGATATTTTCTAATTACACAGACGCATCGCGCAATGTTATTATACGCACCCTTGACATGAATACATTACTTTTGGTGCTTCGTACAAGTTACACATTCATCACGCGTTCACCTTCGTAGCATGTTCATCAATGTCACAAAAAACGCGCATTGTATGTAGGCATTTGCAATTTATTCTGTGTCATTTGCTTGTCGCATAGCGAAGTCCGCGAGTCCGTAATGCAAAGTGCAAAGCTGACGGCAAAATGTGGGGTCAGAGTGTACGCTTTCTAAGTATTAAATTAACTATAATTTTTTATTTATGAATAATTTTGAAATATTATTAATGTTTTATGTAATATAGGAAATGTGGTTTTCATAAATGATCTTTTATTAAAAAATAAAGGTTAATATAGATATAAACAATCACAATGGTTTAAACCATTTATACAGTATGTAACAAACAACCCGTTGGTCGTGTCAGGGACATATAGGTGTACAATGAATGGGTTTTTAGCGTTTCTAATCAAGTAACTTACTAAATTTAATATTTCTAAAAATGTAATTTGCATTTGAACTACACGACACGTGCCGACGTACCCTACGGTCACTGTGAGGTCTCTGACACGGCCGATACAGCATTTTTTCAAAGAGAACTTTTGTGCTTCGTGCTATCACTAACGCTGTTTCTTCCATATGTTTGATGATTTGTTAAACTGGTAACATACATTGCTATGCAGACTACAGCACTGGTGATGCTTTATACACTGGCCATGCCAATATTTCTCGGGAAAATGTCGCTTCACGACTTTGGGGGCGACTAAATCTAGTCCAGATCAATCCCCAGAAGACACAAATTTGTGCGTTTACCGCTAAAAAGAAACACTTTGTCGCATCTCCTCAGTTTCAAGGCACTCCACTTTTTGCCTCAGCCAATATCGGAATCCTCGGTGTCAACATGTCGAGTGATATGCAGTTTCGTGGTCGTTTTTTGTTTTTTTTTTTTTCATAAAAACGTTACCCCCACTCTAGGATTTTCTCCTGTGTCGTGGAGGCAGTTTACAAACATAAATTGCACAAGGATAAACATCCAGACCCGGAACAATTATTTGTAGGCCATACATATACTTGTTCCGTGCGAGATTCGAACCCGCGGCCCCCAGCGCAACAACTGATTGCTAAGCCACTGCGCCACGGAGCCGTCGTTTGGAAGAGAAGGCCAAATTGTCCTATAAAAAGCTTGGCGTGCTCAGCAGAGTGTGATAGTATTTCATGTCGGCAGACCGCTTGTAATTTTAAAAGGCGTAGGTTCAACCCCACATGGAATGCTGTTCTCATCTCTGGGCAGGGGCTTCAGTGCGGAGCGGTTTAAATCATCGACGACCGAGTTCTTTCCGATCGGCTTGACTCACTGGCACTGCGTAGAAATGTTGCATCTCTTTGCGCATTTTATCGCATCTACCACGGGGAGTGCTCTGAGGAATTGTTCGAACTAATTCCAGCCGCTCAATTTTAACATCGCACATCGCGACTATACTCGCGATACCATATAGACGTAGATGGTCGATGCCATCTGGATGATTGGCGGTCCACTACTGTGCGATTTAAAAGAAGTTTACTTCCTCGAACAACTTTCTTGTGGAATCGATTACCATCAGTAATTTTTCCGGACCGATACGACTTAGGGACCTTCAAGAAAAGAGCCTATTCATTTTTAATAGGCCGGCAACGTATCTGCAATACCCCTGGTGTTACAGTTGTTTATGGGCGGCGGTAGTCACTTACCATCAGGTGAGCCGCGTGCTCGTTTGCTCCCTCTCCTATAAAAAAATATATCTTATATGTTGCAACCATTGTGGCTATATTTAACTCCCAAGGAGAAATAATTTACTTAATTCGTGTTTTCTTTAAATATAAGGATATATAATGTGCGCTAGCACTTCTTACTAGTTTGTGGGTATAATGTTATGGTTTACACAATATAAGTATGATAAAAAAAAAATACCTATATTTATAAATTATTATAATATTAGCGCTAAAAGCGAAGTATAATAGATATTTACAATATTTTTTCTAGATACAGTTTTTCTCAGAAGCTTTAAATTTAAAAATAATAGAAATAATCAAAATATTTTTAATCGTGTGCTGGCAGTTAGCAAAATTCCATATCCCTTCTTGAAAACGTAATAATATTAAATATGTTAATATCTATTTTATACCTAATAATATTTAGTAGGTTCACATTAGTTATATAATTTATAATTTTATAAATTATTTTAGAAAAATGATTTTACGAAGTCACTTAACGAGAAAAATTCTTAGTTCCGCTACGTAGATGACGATGTTTTGACGAGTTCTAACAGTTTCTAAATTATGTTGAGATCAAATATACATTGTTCATTCATTCATTACGATCTATCAAAGTCACTACTGAACATAACCGCATATTTCATAGTTTCCATATTTGCTAGGCGGATTTGCAACCGCAGTTTTTCAATTTTGTTACCCATCTTCTGGTTTTCATCTGCCGCCTTTTACTACACCCACAGGATGATTTGGAGTAATGAGTTTTCTTTTACCTCCAATACACATTGTTTTTAAATACTTATGTTATAAACCATGTTATTACTAATTAGACATTTGGGAAAAATATTTAAAAAAGTTTGTTTCAAGCATAAAATGTCGTGATTAATTTCAAACTTACAACTACTTGTAGGAGAAATGTATAATGCATTTTTCATGTGAAACTTTATTCGATAAAGTTTATTCGATTTTTTAAATAGATCCTTGTTAAAGTAATTTAATAAACATAATAAAATTAATATAAAAGAAGCAGCATTTCACGTGCTCCTCAAACTCAAACCCGTTACCCGCTCGTCATCGTAGGACTTTAGTATAGCAAAATCCCCAAAATTTACACGCACTTCGATTGATCGCAAAAGTATCGTTCAGTATATGCCAACTGACTTATTTGCGTTTTCCCATATTATCTACCTGAAATGGATATTAAAATAAATTACTATTTTATTAAGTACATTAATGTCTGATAATTACAAAAAGCAATACATAATTAAAACTGACATACCTAGTTACTGCTACTCATACTCTATTTACTCGAAGAATACAAATTTAATAAGTTTAGCAGTCGTGTTCGACACTCGCGACCCACTTTTACACCGTGTCAAACAATAGATGTATCGACTCGATTGATTTGAATTAGTAAATAAAAGGAAAGGTGAATGTATTATTTATACTTTTATCTCACGTTTTAATCAAAAATATTTTCTAAAATAATAACAAAATAGCCTAGATATTTAAAATAGAAAAGGCCGTTTGAAGTGTTTTTACCATTGTTGACATTTTTTTTCTCGAAAATAAAGACTTTTTTATAAATATCACGCTGTGAAAGTGAAGACTCATCTATTAACTAATTGAGATTTTTTTATGGTGTCTTTCAATGAAGTCAGTTCTTTAATATTTTTAAAACCGTAACTGCCTATTTGCGCGTTTTTTAAGGACCGGCCTCTTAATGAAAAACACAAATTTCTCGGATTTCACGCAAAGTTCATCCTGGTAGCTGTTCATATCATATCTACATTCTACATATTTATCTAAGGTTCATATTAGTCTGCGGTAGTGACTGTAGAGTAATAGTGTTTACATTTTAACTTCAGGCGCAGAAGGACTAGAACCCAGAGCAGTAAAGCCAGTTAAAAAAAGTAATAGTGTACTGTGGGTAGAAATGTGCCAACTCGGAAAAATCACGACGCGAGTTAACTCGAGTTGAAATTCACACAACTCGTTTAAACTCGAGTTACGCAACTCGAGTTAGCAGTACGAAACAGTAAATGATTTGTCACAAATTACTTTTTTATAAAGTTGTTTTTCTGTCTAGCTCTTTGGTTGGTTGGGATAACTATAATTAACAAACTTATTATGTAGGATTGAAATAAAAAGGTATATTTAGTATGTATAGCAGTCTTCACCTAAGAATATTAGTCTAGCTTTAAGATGTAGGTACATAAGCTATTAATAATTTAATTATCAGTCGAAATATTCTTAAATAAATTCAAATTCTAAATATTTATTGTAAGCTTTGTCTTTGGCGTTTGGTGTTAATTTAAAATATGTTGTATCTACAAGTTACTACCATTTTCGGGTAATGCAATAGGTTTGTGACGTATATAACTATATTAATTATAATTAATCAAAATGATTTATTAATCAAAATAACAAATTGTTTTGGTTGTAGCTAAATACTCTTTGAAACACAAAGCGCGCACACAACGAATGAATCGCGGTCGTACTCTTTTGCTGAGTTACTTGATCCGTTCATGTACAGCAGCTCAAACTCGAGTTAGGGAGATCCAAATCGAGTTAATTGCAACTCGAGTTAACTTGAGTTGACTCATCACTAACTGTGGCTGTGGGCTGTAGCTGTAACTGGCTGTAGCTGTCAAACAGAAAAGTATAGAAAAAGTGACGAGGTGCGTTGGATTTAGACATATTTTCCGATTTAATAATTCTTAATGTTCGTATTTTATGTCATCTTCATACGTATTTGCATTCATTTGTCAAATAATGTACTCTCAAGTTTATTTTATACTTTTAATTGAATGAATAAATCACTTGGAAACTGCCTCCATTGTACTATTTTTTTATGGCCACATCCTCAATTTGTTGTAGCACATGTTTCGCTTGAGTACCGACAAAAAATTAATAGATTTTTCCTTCAGTGCATTTACTTTTTTCATCGCACATATGTTACTCAGGTGAGCGCTGTCGTCGAATGTCTGTGTCTGGATGGTCCGAATCAGGTATTTGGAACTCTCATTCCCAGTGACTTCAAAACTGTCGACGAATCATTTAAATAAATGCAAATAATGGAATCAGCTGCATTAGATCCCAAACTTCGTAACCGATTGACAAGATTTCTTCATCTTGGAAATGAAGTCCCCAAATATTATCCTGGTTGCTGGACATCACATAAGTATTTTGAGGTTGATAAATTACAAGCAATAAATGAAGCATTCGAAAATGGAACAGATAATGTTGAAGTTGTCAATATTATTCTACAGGTTAGTATAGCTATTACATCTATTCATTTAAAATATTGTGATTTTATTTTGTCCCTTAGATATGTATGTTCAGTCATTCAAAGTATGTTGATCATCAGCAGTTTTAACCCTTTCACCGCCATCGCCGTAATATTACGAATCTTAAGGTGAATACTGTCAGCGCCACTCACATAATATTCCGAATGCTTATGTTACTAGAAAAACTGCAAGGTTAATTCGATTTTGCTATTAAATTTAATATATTTAATTAATTGTGGACAGTCAAAAAATTAACAGAAATATATAGTATTACTAAGTGCAAGATGAAATTAAACACCTTGCTGCCTCGCTATCCCTGTGATATTTCTTCTTCTTATTGAGAACAGTGCTGCGACACTGTAAAAGATTTATCAAATTTATATTTGTATTATTTCAAGATTAAAATGATAGTTAAGTCATCATAATGTAATTTTTTAATGAACTGAACTAAACATTCATATAAATTTAATTTCATATATTATTTAAATGATTTTTGCGATAAGAAATAAGTTTATGAAAAATATTAATTTATAAACCAAACAATGCAAATGTAAAATTGAATTATCCCGGTACATTATCGATAATGCTAGATGAAGAAGAACTGTTAAATAATTTAGAATCGTGCGTGAAAATGTTTCATCTACAGACAATGATATTAAATTGGTAAGTAAATATTCATTTAAAATAAATAGGTATTTGAGAAACTTACACTACATTTATATTTGCTTAATTTATACATTTTTACAGGAACATAAAAAATTTTTTAGTATATGGATTAGAATTATCATGTCACAAAGTGATGAGTCACTGCAGTTATTGCCATCTATTCTCCCATTTCCGTTGGTAGAACAACGCAGACCGGAAATCATTACATATGCTATGTGAAATCGGAAGAAGATGACTAAACAGCCTATATAAGTTTGCCCGCTTTAAGATTCTTTAATCAAACACCAGAAGATCCTCGAAATGAGCATTTTGGTACATTAATTGCATTTGAAATGGAGTCAGTCCCATACGAGATTCGATCGCAAGTGTATATGGACATAATAAATTTGATATGTCATGCTCGGGAATATATATTAGATCAAGGTCCATGCTCATCTGAATATCGATTAGTTTTATGAAGAGAATTAACGCTGATTAAGTGCAATGTGATTAATGAAAATGAAGACTGATTAAAGCTAGTAATAATACCCAATAAGAAGAATATTATGTTGATTAAAATAAATAATAATCTATAATTTTTAAAATTTTGTTTCATTTATCAATAAACGGTTGTTCCAACACTATGCAAAATATTAAATAAAACTTCCTGGTGCTGGAGACACTCCACGTCAACTAAAGCGCGGCGGTGAAAGGGTTAATGAATCATGCTGACTGTTCTACTAAGAAAATATTTCTATAAATGTCAAATATATACATAATAAAAATCTGTAAGACTATGTATTTAATAACCCTGAATAATATTTAAATTTTTAACAAGACAGTTAAATTTTTTTAGAAAGTTCACTATAAAGTTTTAGTTAGAGTTTAGTTTAGTCTACCATGTAGTGGCGGCGTAAGAATATCCTCTACCGCATGTCATCCTATGCGTTTCGTAAGAGGTGACTGAGGGAAACAAATCAGGAGATGGGCAGTAGCATATTTATAATAACTAAAAATAAAATACTGTTGTTGTCAACCCGCTTGCCAAGCGTGGCAACTATGGCAAATGTCTTTATCCCTATGAGACACTGTGGGGGAGGCCTAAGTTCAGCAGTGGACTTTAATAAGCTGTAACAGTAGAGTATTAGTTAAAGTTTTCAATAATCATCACTTCCTTCGTCAAAATACTACATAATATTGTTGAATGAAAAATCTTCATCATCTGCATTTGTGGTCTACCGGAATGTAAATGGGTGTCTAATACTTGAATTTTATTTCTACTTATCAACAAACCCTATTGATTAACAAAAAATTATCTGTTTCTTGCTTTAGTAAAAAAAAGATGCAGTTTTTAATGTTAATCTTTAAAAGTCATTTGAGCTTGTGATAACCTTATTCTACTCAAAAAAGTCATAAAATTGAACATAGCCGTAAAAGAATAAAATAATTTCACAGACCAATGATTTATTATTTAACTCATATCAAGCATTCATTACAACCTGTAAAATTCCACTGCTGAACATAGGCCTTCCCCATAGACTACCTGATATGAAGGATTTTGCTATTGTTTTCATACTTGGCAACTGTAGTTTTCTGTAATTTTGAGTTGTTACTACGAAAATGCTGCTGCCCATCTCCTCTTTCAGTTTTCCTCTGTTGCCTCTTATGTCACCCATTAGTGAAAAAATTTTCACCACCACTATGCTGTTAATCAAACATTGATATAATTGCATGCTAGCGCGAAACGCACAGGCACAGGTATTATCTGCTAGGGCCTAAAAATTAAGATTCCAACGTTTTGTCGCATGAAATTGTATCTAGCAATCATATTATACATATAAATGATATAAAAAGCACATTGTCATTAAGATAAATGATTGTTGAACTTATTAATATATTTTTTTAATCGATTAATTGTTATTTTTACATAAAAAAGGCTTACTGTGTGGATTTATCAAGTCCGCATGGTGCCGTAATTTATTTTTCTACTTATACCTCATGATCAACCACCTTCCGGGTCAACGCTTGGACTACAAGTAATATAGGTGACGTTTTATACAAATTCGAGGAATATTTTTTTAATTAAATTGATTAGGTAGGTATTTCACCTAATGTTTTATTGTTATAGGCTTATAAAGATGGCTGGTATACTCGTTTTGAAACTATTGCGTTTGCTTTGACAAAGTGCCTGCTTCTTGGTACTCCTGTTGTCAAGGAAGCCACATACAAGGCTGCTGCTGAAATATGCAATACACCTGAGCAAATGATGCTTTTTAACAAATTTACAAGACTTTTTCAAACAGGTAAGTTATAATAAATTTTGTTTCAAAAAAATGACCAATTTCTTTCAAACAAAATAAGAAAAAAAGGTTGATTAAATGAAAATCATTTAAAATTATTAGAATGAAATGTAAATTGAAGAGCATCGTTTCAAATGGCGACTTGTCCAACAAACACAATTATGAGTAATTAAAACCTGTATTAAAAACAGTTCTCATAAAAATCAATTATACCGGCATTATTTTATTTTGGCATAACTTCTACTAATCTTCTCAAAGAAATTTCATCAAAACATAAATATGTTTCTTTAGTACTAATGGTAGAAAATAATGAAACAATAATGGACATCTTGCATTTTGATCCAAAATCTTGGACAAATTTTACTTTGAAACAGGCTTTAAATATTTTTTCTTTTTAGAAATCCAAATTATATTAATGTTGCTACTTATGAAAAAGTATTGGAAATAAAACAGGATGTGGGTAAATCAGACATTTATTTTATATACACTATTACATATTATGCTACGCCCAAAACATTCCCTCTGAAAGAAAACATGCACTGTGCGCGTCAAAAGAGAATAACATTTGACATAGTTCATACAGAAAAGTTGTGTTAAAAAACAAAATACTTACTACTTTGACTAACATTAATTATTTGACTCATAATTTTTCGTAGTACCACATGGTTAATGAAACCATGTCTAGTCTGATCGAATCGATCTGTCAAACTCCAACTTGTGGTACCTGGGCTCTAATAGTTTCATTGCACATCTCATATTTAATTTTACTCAATTGAAATTCATATTATTTTAATTTATGGAACAAACTAGAGTGTGAAAGATATTACCGGCCTTTATTTTCTGTTATATTTTAATTCTATTATTTGCTTATATTTTGTTAATTACTAAATACATTGAAATATGAAATTTGTTAATATTTCTTGTCTCAGGAAATGGCAGAGGTTGGTGTAAAAATGTAAGAGAATGGTATACTAAAAAGGACCCTATGGATCTTGCAAAAGAAATGACAAGAGTGAGATCACGACATGGACGCTCACATAAGACTCTTCTCCGTAAATCTCATGTGAAAATTGCTGAAAATGATCACGGTACCTTATTTTATAAATTTGCCCTTTATAATTTTACTTTCTTTTAGTTTTCATGCCAAATCCTTCAAAATGGAACACACCCTCAGAGTATACATAGCAACTATAGAGTGTGCATATCGCTCATTGCTCATTATGCCAAGCGTAAGCAGGTGTTCTTTAGATACTGATACATAACTGAAGCGGTTGAATAGTGATGCACCAAGATTAATGCCTATGTGTTATTGTACTTAAGTTAGTAAACAGTAGGTAGCTGAGTAATTTTATAAGGTAGGTTTTAGCAGATCAATAAAACTGGTACCAAATGTGTTTATTAATCAAAATAAATCTAAATCTAATCGATTTACTGCCTCTTAAATCTTTTGAATTACCTTTGTTAATGAGTTAACTAAGTTAAACTGTAATTTTCGTTTTGTTTGCTTGATTGCAGTTTTATGTGCAAGATATTTTATTCTAATGTCAATATATTTTCTGTATGACATGCATTAGTTTTGAAAATATCGTGAACATCGTAATTATGTAGGTACCTACATCACTGCCGAAGCTAGATTTTTTATCGATCATACTTCAAAATTTAAATTCTGATATGCCACCTCCAACCAGCTTGCGCAGTCCACCCTAGGTTTCAATAATGCATGAAGCGCTAAAATGGATGAAACAAAGAAATTCCTGATGTGGTGCTCCCAGTTGGGCCTTTTATTGCTACCACCCATTTATTTGCCAATCCATGGCTGTATCGGAAATCTAAAATTAGTAAAGTATTTTAACTGTATTTACTTTTATTATGTACCTGATCTATTGACCTATATGGGTTAGTAATACAAATGATCATAATTTCTTATACTATGATCATATTATTATTACAAATGAAATCATGTTATTACATAATATTCGAGTTCAATATGGTACAACACTAGCTCGAATTCGGTGAAAGTCTGAAATAAAGTGATGCAGGACCACATGCTGTGTTTATCCGCCCGCGCGTCTTCCGCAATACCCTGATTAATTTTGTTTAAATCAGTGTTTTCTTATCAAAATAATAATTACCTTTGAAAATAAACATCATTATTCTTCTTAGTTTGCTTCCGTGAATCGTTTATAGAGCTTGTTATTGCACATTTCACCATGATAATTCAAAATTCAAGTAAATACCGGTGAGAGAAACAATCAACGCGCGTTTCCTTTCGTGACTAATATCGCCGCTCTTGCAATTTCTAGGCCCTTCATACCCATGCTTACTGTTCGTACTCGCTAGAGCGCGATCTATAGCTTCTTTATGTATACACTAAGAACACACCTTAGCTCCTCCGTGTTTGTCGCTCACAGGGATTTTTTTAGTGTTTCACACAGTTGATTGATATATGGCATACAAAATTTAAGTTTTAGTTTATATTTAGATAAGTGGAAAATGAAAAATTCTTAAATGACATTAACAGAATTACGTTATCTTTTATTGATAAATTTTTTTATTATTTAGGTACCCAAGTTTATTTGAGGAAAATGCTTAAAAATTGATTCCTCGAATTGTTATGAATTTAATATAAAATATATACTTAAGTAGGTGGAAAGGTGAGGGGCTGATGGCACAGAGCACTGATTTTATAGCATGGACTTTACAATTTTTTTTTCTGTATGAATAAAAACTTATTTTCAGCACGCGATGCGGTAATAAAATATGCACTTTTTGGTTTGAAACGTGCTAAGCAATTACTAGACAATACTGACGGTACCCAAGAAATTTTTGACTACATACAAAAGGTAGAAGATTTACGTCATTGTGAGGATCCAGTGGCTGCTGCAACAATGGCAGAAGACAATGGCTTCACAATTGACCATGTACCGGGGCATTTGCTTACTTCACAAGAGGTACTTTTTTGTGTTTTTATCACAGAGCATGTTGAAGTTGCATTTATTTTAAGCTTTAATAAAAAATATTATCACTATTTACCTCTAAACATAATAAAACTGGCCAAGTGTTAGTCATTTCCTCGCTTTATTAGGAGGGTTCTGTACATATTATGACCTATAAATAATAATAAAATATATCGTTTAGGAGCTAATAAATGTTTGATTATATGGTCCCACAAACTACATTTTGTATTGTTTTCAGTATTTATTGTTTTAGTACAGTATATGGTTCATAATTATACAGGAATTTCAAATCTGTAACTAGTTCGGTTTTTGAGATAGATCCTGTAACAAAGTATGATGACCCCCATTTTTTTATTTTTAAAGATAAAAGTTAATAAAAATATTTTTGTACTCTACTCAATAGAGACAATGATACCCCATATGCTTATGTAAGAATAAAATCGAAATGAAAAGAAAGGAAAAGAGGCATGTTATATGTTTAACTTGTGTATCTGTGTATGTCTGTGGCATCGTAGCTTGCAAATGGATGAACCGATTTAGATTTTGTTTTTTTTTTGTTTGAAAGTTGAATTCATTGAGAGTGTCCTTAGTTTGCCTTAGTTTGTTGTGCCGTTTGAAGATAATCAGCTCTTTTTGTTTCGGGTTTTTTTTAATTTTCAATTTAATATTATTAATATAGAGTATGGTTATGGGACCCCTAATCAAAAAAAGAATTTAATTTTAAATTCCTATTTTGGGTTTTGGATAAACATTGTGTAATAAATATCACAGTTACGTGTGGGTTCTTGTTTCATCCTTCGGTAGCCCTAAAATTTTAGACCAATTTCTGTACTACCAACATTTAGTTAAAATTTTTGAAAAAATAATTTTAGATCAGATGTTAAGTTTCTTTAATATTAATAAATTGCTACATAAAAATCAATTCGGTTTTACAAGGGGTCGCTCGACGCTGTAGTTGAGCTTATTAAACATATTTTTTGTGCATGGGAGAATTCAGAGGATCTTTTGGGTATATTTTGTGTGATGTTAGTTTATTTCAGTTATTTCCATAGCATAATGTCTTATGGTATTTTGCTATGGGGAAATGCGGCTGATTCTACTACGAAACTATTTTGTTTTACAGAAGAAGGCCATTAGAGCTATTTACAACCTAAAACCGAGAGAGTCTCTTAGAGATAAATTTAAAGAAATAAATATATTAACTTTGGCCTCAGTATATTTACGAAAATTTAATGTATGTTCCAAAAACAAAAGTAGTTTTAGTAAAAAAAAGTGATATACATTCTGTAAACACTAAGAACAAACACGAGCTAGTGATACCAGTTTCTCGACTCCACAGAGTCAGTAATTCATTCTTGGGGCAATGTATATGCTATTACAACATGGTCCCGGAAAGTTTACAGGCTCTCTCTATTACCAAGTTTAAATGTTTTGTTAAGTTGAAACTGTATAAAAAGGGTTATTATAGTATAAATGAATACATGGTTGATAATAACCCCTGAGAATGAGGTGGTCGCTTCCAAGCTGTTTCTAAAATAAATACTTACTTACTTACTTACTTATCTTCACGCACAATCCCTGACGGGGTAGCCAGAGAGAACAGATCGCCAAGTGTCACGATCCTTACAAACCTCTTTCGCTTCTTTCAGATTCATTATCTTCTTCATGCATGCACGTCTAGGTATCCGAGTACTTTTGACCCTACCCTCTTCGAGCAATTTGCTCACATGGTCTTCGAAAGTTAGTCTCGGTCTACCTCGACACCTTTTAATATTAACTTTCGCGCTATATATTTTCTTCACCATTCGGTCTTCACTCATTCGCTCAACGTGCCCAAACCACCGAAGCACGCCCTTATCAATTTTTGTGATAAGGTCATCTTTCAAACCTGCCATATTGCGAATCTCTTCGTTTCGCTTTCGGTCGGCCATGGTAACGCCGCACATTTTACGAAGAGATCGCATCTCCACTGCATTCAACTTACTTTTATGCTTCTTCTGGCATACCCAGGTTTCGCTGCCATATAACAAAGTCGGTACCAACACTGCGTTATGTATTGCAAGGCGTGCACTCTTCGCTACGCCTTGCCTTTTGACTAACGCAGTCAGGGCACCATTGACTTTGTTCCCGGCAGCGACACGCCTGTCCACATCTAAATCACATCTTCCATCCCGGCTAAAAGCACTCCCCCAAGTATACAATTTCATTTACCTGTTCTAGACATTCCTGATTTACCCATATTTCACACTTCGTTCTCTCTTCGTCCCTTTCAAATACCAGAACCTTAGTCTAGTCTAAAATAAATGTTGTACTTAAATAGTTTGTACATTCATTATTTTAAAATTACACAACATTAATGTAAAATTTGCTTTAAAAAAAGAAGTCCCGCTGGGTTTCTTGGTGGTTCTTTCCAGGACAGAGGTTTTTTTTTCGAACCAGTGGTAAAAAGTAAAAAATGACTCAATAAGAATTACACATGTGATCTATATTGAATAAAAAATATATAATATTCTACTCTAAATTGTATCAGGCAGGTTGGCTGCCAAACGTGGCAACTAGGGTAAATATCCCCCTATGAAGCAATCTATGTGCACTGCTTTATGATCACCAGTGGACTTTAATAGGCTATAACAGTAATGGCAGTAATAATTTTTTTTTTTAGGTATGGAATGCAGTTCTGTCCCAATTTTCCCTTGAAGATCTGTTAAGCAACATCCAACGCATTCATAACATGGGCTTTTTAACCAGTGATTCTACTACTACTGCTATTTTGATCTCACTGCTAAGCAATGATGATTACATCAAAAAGTCTAAAGTCACTCCTATCGCTGTTTACATTACTCTCTGCAATTACCAAAAGAAAACAAGGTGAGGTTAAAAGCTTTGTTATTTAATTTTATCCACCAGCCATTAGAACCCATTGCTGTAATAAATAATGCATCGAGTTTGACTAGCTTTTCACCATTATGAGCCAACGGATTGGTGAGAATCGGAGCACTGAAAAAACACAATTTGCTTAATGGTGCTCCCCATTATCAATCTGTGATATCTGCTTTAAACACAATTTGGATTTTCAGCCATTACCCTTAGACTCTGTTATCAGCTCAACACATCTAACAGTCAAAAACGGCCAATGTGTGTAAGTGAGCTTGGCCTAGATGGAATTGATATATTCTCGGTTGCATCTTTCATTTTCATTTTATTTTATAAATAGAAATATTTCTTTTTTATTTAATTTTGATTATAAAAAATCATTCCTATGTTTAATTTACGATATTTTAAATGTAAATGAAGTTTTAAATTTAAGTTTTCTAAGGAAGAACGGGACATCCTGGCACAGATATATATTTACTTAAAAGGATTTCCCAACAACAGATAATAATGTATCTATTTAAACAAACCATGTAATAATAAAGTAAATATATTAAAAACTAGAGAAATAGACAGTGAGTACTGATAGACTGATCTCAATAAATAATTTCGATGTGTTATTTTTAAGACTCCCTAAATTCATCTTTAGTGCCATAATAATATGTAGGTACTCTTTTGAATATACTACTAAAAAAATTGCTAGCTAAAAATCTTACTCATATTATCCCATGTCTTAGACCACTAAAACACGAAAAGGCAAAAGTGGCCCTTGAGAAGCAGCAACGCCGCCGTACGCGCCAGATCTTTGATAGCAAGACTGGTCTTTGGGAGTGGACTGTCACTAGAAGACATCCGAAAGAAGTCAAGCACTGGGGTAATATTTACATTAACATTTCCATTTGTATTCAAATTTTAATGATGTTATTGATGTTTATGGAAATGTATGTAATAAGAAAATTGCATGTTTCCTTAAGGTATTGACCAACCGCCAAACCAAGCTGTAGTTGGCGCTTTGCACAAACTGATTGACCACACATGGTTGCTCACACCTCCAACAAACGTCCGTTACTTGATCACCTTGGACATGAGACACCATATGTTTAAAGGTATGTTATAATATGGAAAAGATGTTAATCAATATGGTATTCACTGATCAGGAGAATAAAAATCTTGCAATAGTTAGTTATTTTTATAAAACTGAGAGTGACAAACACACAATCCACCTGATGGTGATTATTGCAGCTCATTGACACCTGGCCATGTTTAAACAAAGAAGCCTACAGATGTGTTGTTACCTCTGAGGACTATGAGACGGAATGCTTCACAGACTGTAGTTATACTGAATCTTTATTATACCTTTCAAACCGGTGCTATTTGGTGGCTAAAATAAACAAGTGTGTGTGGAGAGCTCGTAGTTCGGTTGGTTAAATTATACCCAGTGGAGTGTACTGTATGTGATATATTCAAAAACTTGTACAACAGTTGTCGTTAAACTAAGGAACAAAAAATTAATTGATAAAAGATGCGCGAACGCTTGTGCGATGCCGGGCGTAGTCGCTGAGTCACTGCCTTCGATCCGCAACGATTGGTCCAAACTCCAAAAGCGAACTATCGGCAAGCCGCAATGCTCCCGCTTCTCGAGCCCCGCGCTTCGGATGACGTGTTGAGTTGAATGACTGAAAAATTAACCAGATTGATCGATATCAACATATAAATTGGCTCAAAACTTAGCAAAAATACTCTCACTGCTGAGACAACATGTCAGTTAAATAAAAGACCTACATCTTGCTCACTATGAAACTATCAGACATGTAACACAGTAACTGCATTTTAAGGCCGCTACCAAACTCCATATATGTACATTAAAGTTCAATTCACAACGGAGTTAAAGACAAATAATTCTTTAACTATCTTTGATCTTTTAATTATTAGGAATCCTAATTATAATATCATTCACTCATACTGTGTATAAAAAAGACCCATACTGTTACAGCCTATTAAAGTTCACTGCTGAACACAGGCTTCCCCCGTAGATTGCATCATAGGGGAATTTGAGACTTGCCAAACGTAGCAATTTGCCATAATTGCTACGCTTGGCAAGCGGGTTGGCAACCGCAGTTTTTTATTTTTAGTCGTTACTAGGAAGACACTGCTGCCCATCTCCTGATTTTTTTCCCTCTGTCGCCTTTTACGACACCCACGGGATGGTATGGGGTAGTAGATATTCTTACACCGTCACTACATGGTACGTGTATAAAAATATAGAAACCTATATTTAAACAATAAATCTCACCACTATCCATCACAGTCACCTATCCAGACAGCAGACTCCTAAGCAGAAAAAGAAGCTAATCAAGGTAATTGAAATTAGTTTCGTAATTATACTCAATATATTGCAAGATTATTATTTTTCTGGGTTTGTTAAAATGTAGGTGAAACCAACTGTTCATGGTAGATATTATATTATTAAATGGATATTTGTATATATATAATATATAAATTATAGTAAAATATAAGTTAAATATCATGACATTTTCACAGGTCGTCACTTTTGTAAAAACTTTGCACTACCAAGAAAGGGCAAAAAAACAGCCACTAAGACGACCCCTGGTGGAGGCGGTGACGCCGATACTGAAAAACAAGAAAGCAAAAGGCACTTGCTCGCTGAATGTTTCTATAATAAGCATGTTACTCCCGGTCATGCAGGTGTGACATTATCTGTAATTCATATTTCTATTATTTTATAACCACACTATCCAGTACTTCGTCACAAGAACCCATTAATCAGGTTAAAAGGTTAACCAGTTAATCCTTTAACTAATACATTTTATTTTCCTGTTTTTAGTATTGTTACGCGCCACTATTAATGTCTTGTACATGGCAACACTAGTTACACTAGCGCCCCCTAGTGTCGAGTAAATGAAAGTATTGCGGGCCACTATTAATGTCTTGTACATGGCAACACTAGTCACACTAGCGCCCTCTAGTGTCGAGTAGCAGAACTAGGAGAGTCGAGATCCTTCCAGAAATTTCGGGACCGATATGTACTCGAACATTCTAGATGTCGCTACAGTAGAAGGTTCTGGAAACTATCTGAGGCCCTATATAAGACCGGTATAGACCACGACCGGGGCAGTATTGAATTGGCGATACAAGAGAATACTTCGAAGCGAAATAACGGCGAACTGTGTTTTATTATTAGTGTGTTTTAAGGTGTAATTAGTATCCGTAATTAAAGTGTCAATTTTGGTAATTCAGTCGGCAGTTTTTAATTGTCTCGAACCCGAAGCTCGTAAAAATTGGTGTCAGAAGTGGGATCAAATATGCCGATTTTACCTAAAGACGACACGGAGGGTATCCGTACCCGAAGTCAACGCCAACAGGAGACGGACCAGAGACGATTTGGTAATGCAACGCCGCAAACGTCGGAGGGCCAGTTGCTAACCACGGAGGCTGGCCCGTCAGCAGCTCCTGCAATCTGCAGCACCTGACTTGGGTGCTCTGATGATGATGCTGCAGGATCAGGCTCGCCGACAGGAGGAACAGGCCCGCCGACAGGAGGAACAGGCCCGCCGACAGGAGGAACAGACCCGTCGGCTGGAAGAGCAGCTGCAGCGTGGTATGGAAGAACAGATGCTCCTCAGGAAGGACCTTCACGCTACCTTCGGGAAAGAGATAAAGGAGGTGAAGGATAGGGTTGCTCAACATGACAACCGCCTGTCGGAAGCTGAAACCCGAATCGACCAAGTGAACAATCGGGTTGACAACGTGATGGCTGATGTGAAGAAAACGCTGGACGACCTCAAACTTGGGGATGGAATCACAGCTCCCGTGGTAGCTACAACACCTTCGCTACGTGGATTCAAAGTGCCGCCGTTCGACGGGAGTTCTTCCTGGTCGGCCTACAAAATCCAGTTCGAGGCTGTCATGAAAGCGAACGGCTGGAATAAAAGTCAGGCCATGACTGCTCTCACCCTAGGCCTACGCGACCAGGCCTTAACTGTTTTGGAAGCGCTCGGTAAGGAAGTGACTTACGAGCAGCTCCTTGAGGCATTGGAGGCGAGATATGGCGATGCTCACCTGGAACACGTCTTTCGTGCGCAGCTCAAAGATCGTGTGCAACGCAGTAACGAAAACCTGCAGCAGTGGGCCCTTGAGGTGGAGAAGCTGGTTCGAAAAGCGTACCAGTCTGTACCTGTGCTCATTGTAGGGAACCTGGTGCAGACTTTCATCAACGGCATCCGCGACCTTGAAGTCAGAGCTGCTGTGAGGCTCGGGCACCACCAGACGCTTAAGGACGCCCTGACCCATGCACTGGAGGTGGAAGCCGTGCGGCAGGATCATCGTTCCCACCGCGTCAGGGAGGTTGCAGCAGCTACAGTTCAGGACCGCAATAAAGGCTATAACCCTAGGTGCTACGGCTGTGGGGAAAGGGGCCATCTTCGATCCAGCTGCCCTAAACGAACTGTAGAAAGGGAAGGTGATCGATCTCGAGAGGGTAGTGCGGATAATAGCACCGCCCAGCAGCAGCAGGGAAACGAGTAAAAGCCAGGACTGCGGGGCGGGTGCTGGCTGATGTTAAAAAGCCCCAAGGATTTCGATCTCACAAACCCATGATGGGAACAGCCTAATCATCAAGGACGAAGTCAACGGAACGCCGTGTAAACTGACCATAGACACTGGAGCCTCTCGCACGGTTGTCAGCTCCCAACTTATAAGTCGGTTCCTTGGGGACTCCGCATACAACCGAGAACGCATTAATTTGGTGACAGCCACCGGTCAGCGCATACCCGTCCGTGGAGAGAAGGAGATGGAGTTGAAGCTAGGCAACATGATCTACCTGCATAATGTCATCGTGGCTGATATAATGGACGACTGCATCCTGGGCCTAGACTTTATGAGGAAGAATTGTTGTGAGATCGACGTTAAGCAAGGTGTTTTGAAATGTGGACAAGAAGAACTTTTCGTGGAAGGGGCGTTACCAGGGAATGTGTACAGCCTTAAGAAGATTGTTCTTCCGCCGAGATCGGAAACGATTGTGCCGGTTAGTCTTCCTCGGAGTCCTGGGCAAGCCCATCGTTGTGTACTCGTGGAAAGGGTAGACAATGACCTTCCATGGAAAGTGGCTCGAACCTTGGTCAGAACCACCGACATCTCAGGAGTACGTGTGTTGAACCTTTGTGATCAGGAACAGATTATAGAAAAAGGCACATTGGTTGGTACTAGTGAGGAAGTGGATTGGTTGCGTCGATGCGAATATCTATCGACCGGGACCCCCAGCAAGGATGGACAAACGATAGTGACCACACTTTTGGAAGACTGTCGCAGCGTTCTTTCCCCGAATGAAATGGTCAAGGCGAAGAAGTTGTTACTCAAGTACGCCAATGTTTTCTCGTCAAACGAAGCTGACATAGGAAAGACTGGCTTAGTTCAACACAAAATAAACACAGGACAAGAATTGCCTATTCGTCAGCGGCCAAGAAGATTGCCTGTAGCACGTGAAAAGGAAGTGGAAACCATGATTGAGGGAATGGTGAAGGATGGTGTTATTGAACCTTCATCTAGTCCATGGTGTTCACCTGTGGTGCTGGTAAAGAAGAAGGACGGCAGCATGCGGTTTTGTGTTGACTATCGCCGCCTGAACGACATTACAAAGAAGGACAGCTATCCCTTGCCAAGAATTGATGACACGCTGGATATGCTTACAGGCGTAAAGTGGTTTAGTACGCTAGATCTGAAAAGTGGCTACTGGCAGGTTGAATTTGACCCTAAGGACAAGGAGAAAACTGCATTCTCCACAGGAAAGGGTCTGTGGCAATTCATAGTCATGCCGTTTGGATTGTGCAATGCTCCAGCAACGTTTGAAAGGTTGATGGAGCTTGTACTTACCGGGCTAACTGGAGATGCTTGTCTGGTCTATTTGGATGACATCATCATCGTGGGCCGTACGTTTGAGGAACACCTTCAAAACCTGGAACGCGTGCTCATGAAGATCCAGAGTGCCAACCTCAAGTTGAGTCCAAAGAAGTGCTCACTATTCAAACGGCAAGTTAGTTTTTTGGGGTATGTAGTGTCGGAAGAAGGTATCCGCACGGATCCAGAGAAAATTGCTGCTGTTAAGGAGTGGCCGGTCCCAAAAGACAAGACACAGCCAATAATGCTCGGGACGAGCATGTCTTAGGAGGGGGCAGTGTTACGCGCCACTATTAATGTCTTGTACATGGCAACACTAATTACACTAGCGCCCCCTAGTGTCGAGTAAATGAAAGTATTGCGCGCCACTATTAATGTCTTGTACATGGCAACACTAGTCACACTAGCGCCCTCTAGTGTCGAGTAGCAGAACTAGGAGAGTCGAGATCCTTCCAGAAATTTCGGGACCGATATGTACTCGAACATTCTAGATGTCGCTACAGTAGAAGGTTCTGGAAACTATCTGAGGCCCTATATAAGACCGGTATAGACCACGACCGGGGCAGTATTGAATTGGCGATACAAGAGAATACTTCGAAGCGAAATAACGGCGAACTGTGTTTTATTATTAGTGTGTTTTAAGGTGTAATTAGTATCCGTAATTAAAGTGTCAATTTTGGTAATTCAGTCGGCAGTTTTTAATTGTCTCGAACCCGAAGCTCGTAAAAGTATTTTTATTTTATGTGGGCCAATCCTCATTAGACTGATTAACTATAATAGAACGAAATATACAGGGTTATTTTTCAAAGAGTATCCAAATTTTAAACTTCAGTTCAAATATATAAATAATGATATACTGTTATTAGTTTTTGAAAATACGAGTAAATAAAGCCTTTATTTGAAATTATCCCAAATTGAATGTGGTTTATGAGCAACAACGTTTTTACCTACCCGTCGACCCTTTCGAATGTGTGACTCACGATTTTGAAATTTGATTTTCAAATCACGCATTTTGAATTTAAAAGATAAAAGGGACAGAATTTTTGAATTTTTTTAATTAATTTTTTTCTCCATTTGCATAATATATTACTCGTATTCTGAACCTTCTCTGCAAATTTGGTCGGTTATAGCAAAAAAAACTTAAGCATTATCGTTGAGCAGCAGTAAGAAGCGCATCCAGCTTTTTTGCCTTTATGACAAGGTGCTTTGTTCAATTGTTTTTTTATGTGGACTGTTTGCTCGCTTGTCACCTTTATTCTATAAAAAAATAAATACAATTAATCTTTCTTCATTTGCATTTGCACCTACTCGTATCATATTATTTGGAGTCACAAAGCTTAACACTTTAGGACTTTAAGGTGTGATGGTGGTGTGTCAAGTCGAATCTTTTAGAAAAGAAAATTAACTTCACGATTCAACCACTTCATGTATAGCTGATTAATTGATAAATTTAGTATATATTAAGGAATTTAAGCCAAACCAAAAAATTCTAAACGTCCTTCAAACCATTCGGGGCAAGCCCTTGTGTTGGTTCCTGTTCTTTTTTCAATAAATGTCTTTTATAAGAAAAGGAAATGACAAAAATGCTTTTCCATAAGTATGACATATTACCTACATCTATCAAATAAGAGATCTATGTCTGTCTACAAGCAAATTTTGTTGCAGCTATAATATTGGCTCTACAGTTGCTTAAACGTGAGCAGAATGCAAAATTGGCTGTTTTTACTGAGACTGGTGTGGAGCTTGTAACCATCGAGCGCAATTTCAGTAGCATCAGTGAGGCAGAATTCATACTGAGGGTAAAGTATTTTAATTATTGATGTTTGCATTTTGTTTTGTTAATAATGGCATATTGTTTTTTTTTCTGTTTCTCATGTGTTTTTAAAAAAACGTTAACTCCACACTAGGATTTTCTCCTGTATCGTGGGTGGCAGTTTATATACATAAATTTCACAAGGACAAACATCCAGACCCAGAACAATTATTTGTAAGCCATACAATTATTTGTTCCGTGCGAGATTCGAACCCACAGCCTTTAGCGCTGCAAAACTCATTGCTAAGCTATTTAGCCACGGAGTCGTCTTAACCACACAGAATATGTATGATATTGCCACAAGTGCGCATACACTTTAGCAATCACCATAGTCTTCTCTCGTCTAGCAAATTAAAGGCTTGAGTCATAGCAAACACTGTTTGTTGTTGTTATGTAGCTTACAATTTTAATAAATAATAAAATAGTCTATGCTTTGTAAAACGATATCATTACAGTAATGACACAATAATAAATAATTAGATGCCTGATGTTTAAGCTTTTGCAGAAGATAATAAGGTCTAGACTTGGATGCAGTCCCAGATGGTCATTAATTCCATATCGGACTCATCTTTCAAATGACAGGTCATGTCAACAAATATATCAGCTGTACATATTTCTATAGACTAATTTTGTGTGGAGTTGGAAGAGTAGCTTGAATGAAACTTATAGCAAGTTAATTTCAGACTGCTAAACAATCCTCTTAGGAATCTGTGACTATTTAATTATTTAATAATGCAATTTCTTATTTTAATAACAATTTTCTACCATCGTTTTTTGTATGATATGATAAACTTATATTTGACAATTGAAAATTGACCCGTAATAACTTTTAAAACATTAATTAGGATGCAGAATTGATTTGATTCACACCATTTTATGCTTTAACTCAACCCTATCGATTTTTTTATTTATAGACTGGATAATTGATAAATGAAAATATGAAGCTAACAGATCAAGTTTGTTCACATTAAACAATAACGTCTTATCATCATCATTACAGCCCATCACAGGTACACAGGTTAACATAAGCAACTCTCATAATATATAGCCACACATAATATTCTTGGGCCACAAGCATCCGTTGACTACCTACATGTTTCATCAGATCGTCACTTCATATAGTGAGAGTTCGCTCAACATCGTGATTACCAGTCGCGAAACTTATTTAAGAAACTTTCTTCCAATAAGAAAAAATATTAAATGTTAAAATGATGGTTTTAAGAAACTTTTAATTGGTTGTTAATTCTTAAATGTTGTTTTTGTTGCTATTTAAAATAAATAAACTTTTGTCTTTCGATATTACAGAAAGCTAATCTCGGTCGCGTACAATTGGACGCGCCAATCGAATGGGCGCAAAAAAACAACCAGATGTTTGACGTGTTCATCAACATGGTGGATCGCACCACACGGTACATGGAGCTGGAACTGAACGCGCGCGGGGGTCGCGGCCCCGGCGGTCGCTACGGACCTCCGCCTGCGCCGGGCAAGGAGCTGCCAGACCACTGCCCAGTCAGAGCTTTGCAGCGTTACAGACGAACTAACGTGGGCAATGCCAAGTTAGTTGTAGTGTTTGTGCTAATATCTCAAATTATTTGCAGCATCCACTCTGCAAAGAGAAAGTATTCATCATTACAACTCTTCATAAGACCGCTGCTGAACGGAGGCCTCTCCCGAGGAATACCACAGAGCATGGTCTTGAGCCACCTGCATCCATCGACATACGGCATCTCTTACCAGGTCACTCCATCTAGTGGGGGGGTCGCCCCAACTTCGCTTAATTTTAATAGTTAAAAATTAATTTTCGCTGCCTAATGTAAACAAAAAACGGTCGAATGCCACTGGTGCATACTCTGCAATATGAGTGATAAATTAGATTATTGAAAAAAGTATTTTTTACTTTGACTTTGCTGTATTTTTGGGAATCACTTTAGAAATAAACTCAGGTCTGCTTATGCTGTTGAAAAAAAGATTCATCAAACTTTGTTGATCTATTTTAGTTACATCTACAATATAATGTACTATGGGATTATATTGTGGGTGCATGTTGTAATAATACTATTTTTATTTGCAAGAATTCAATGAATCATATTTTACAGGTTGATTGTGATGTCCCTTGCATCTCATCGTGTGGCCACTACCGACGGCAGTCACGAAGGTGTTCTTGACATCGTCGGAATAGATGAACACGTGCCCAAAGTCATAGATGCCTTTGCACTCGGACAGTTTGAATGAACGAACGCACTTCAATTACGTCACAATTGGCGCCTGTCAATTCGCACCGGTTTTTTGGCATAGAGTTATTATAAGTCATATATATTCGCTTGGCAGATCAATCTATATATATTTTGATTGCAAACTAGAAAAAGTTATTTTTGCTTTTTTATACTATGAACATTAAAATTCCGCTATAGTTAGATATGTGTGACATGGCATCTAAGTATTCTATACGCCTATTTATTTTTCGATATTTATATTATAACTGTTTATAATATTAAGTATAGGATAGTTGTCATTATTCGTATAAAATCCAAAGTTTTTATAATATATTATATTATGTATAATGTTGCTAATGTCATTGCATATTTTAGTACTGCGGAGTTATCTTAGTTAACTTTTTAGAATTAGCTATGTTCATACAAACTATACAATGATTGAAGTCAACGATAAGTCTCGTGACTTAATGTGGAGATAAATGTTATTACCAGTTAGTTATTTTTATAATTTGCTATTAGCCATAACAATTGTAGAAAATCTACTTGGATAACACTGCTGTTCTAATAAAGAAGAAAAGGGAAAATAGGAGCCCTTTCTGGTTAGCACTCCGCCTAATAACTCTATGCCTTCATATGATTACATATTTCCATTTAATACAATCGAAAAACCTCCTTTACCTCAGTATTGAATGTCTTTTTTGTAATAAACTCAACCACAATGTGTTCCAAATGCCAGACTAAATTCGTAAGTATATGGAAAAATTCTTTCATTCCTAATTAAATTGTCTTAGCATTTTTGCTTCTTACAAACGGTAAAGCCTAAAAGTTTTGAATTGAATTTACTACATGTACCTTGTCAATCTTCTAAAGACTATTTTGTGAAAGTATGACTTTTTATTATGATGTACATGCAACGAACGATATAAATGATAATCGAAGAGCTTATAGCAATTATGAACTCAATTTGAAAATCGCAAAGGGGTGTTAGACCCCAGATCTCTTTCTCTAGCCGTGTGACTTGAGATGAAATTAAGGGTAGTTTTTCTATATTTTGTTTATTTAAATTTGCATCAATTAAGCTTAAAGTTTATGTTAATGCTATCAACATTTTTATTTAATAAGTTAAAATAACAGGTACGAATTACTTTTGCTTGTTAGTAATACACGCTATTGACACCTTTTTTTATAACTTTTTATATTTTGTTTGGTACATTTTTGAAACCTTTCATTTATTAGTGAGCATAATTCACTTTAGGTAATGTGTAAGTATACATAATATATTCTAAAATATAATATCAACAGGAGGTTTATAGGTCCTGTCTATATTAATTTCGTTGGTTGTGTTGGTTTTAATTTGAAACTTTCCGCGCAGATTGTGTTAGGTTATTTTATTTTGTAGTTTAACTATGATTTAATAATTAGAACTTCAATTGCAAAGGCAAGCAGAATATAAAAGCGGGCTGTTTAAAATATTATTCATAAGTTTGTTACTTGTTAAGCTAACCAATAATTATCCGCGCGCTTTAATCCGTTTTTCGTGCTGATCTAACATAAATTTGTATTATAGTATAAAGCGGCGTCTATCATTTTATTTTCTTTACATTCATTCTCCGCATCAAAGTCGACTGCGAATTTTAGTGTTCGGCTCAATTAAAATTAAAACTTAACTCTCGAAATTTATATAGACTTAGTGTGGTCTGTATTGTTGCTGTTAAAAGTGTAACAAAACCATTCGTAACAGGGTCTTCTTGGTTCAACATTTGGCTCCTGAAGCTCTCACAACGCACTGCTATGTGTTCATTAAAACAATAATTAACAAAGGGGACAGCATGAGATGGTTCTTTTAATTAGTATAAATGATAGAACATACTTCAAGACCGACCATAATATGTGACTTCCAAACGTAAATTGTTTGAATGCCAGTACCTCATTATTTTGTAGTTATTGAGTTTCAAATTTTATTTATTATTGTTTTAAATATATTTAAATGGTGATTCGAGTGTGGTTGTGTGTTATAAAGTGATCTTTCCTATTTGCCAAAGTTTGATAATGCATTTGTAATTTTATTCAGAAGGTACTGGCTAGCAAACATATTTTTCATTAGCAATTACTAATAGCATATCTCTTGTAATGTAGATAAATTGGAAACTGATACATGCTCATAATAGTTTTCCTAAAAATCAGTCATAGCATTTTGCTTATTTTTTATCTTTTATTTATAAAATATTTTGTAGTTACATTAATTGCGTGGTGATGGGCAAGTATCAGCTTTCATGCAGTAGTATTAAGTATATCCGTTTCAACGTGTTGGTTACTTTTGTACTAATATGAACGGACTTTTCAGAATCTGTGATCACATGGTACTCTCTCGGGTTTAAGATTTTTTTTTTATATCTCATAATGTTGATATAATGAAACTTCAAAAGTAGTTACTCGAAATTGTTAGGTATACTGTTAGTATTATTCTTTTTTGAATATCGTGAAAACTTTATTTTTAAACGTATATTTTAAACACTGATCATTATGTTTTATCCATTAAATAAAAGTTATGAAATCGGAATTGTTCTGTCTGTCGCAGTTATTATAGATTAAATATTACATAATAATCAGTGTTTTATCGAGTACTAATGTCAAATGCTTCTTTCTCGAAAATAGCATTCTGTGATTTAATGATGCCTTGGCTACTCCAGACTTAGTGATATTATTACTAAAAGGGCTGGGTTTTCTTTTGAATCCTAAAATATATTCAACGAAAAGAAAACAGCCAATTTTAAGGGTAGCAAATTGTATTTAGTAATAATTATAATGCAATATAATTACAGAAAGTCTGTTGTTATATAACAATAACATTTGCTTATAAGATTCCATAACATGCCAGTTTACCATGTTCTGTTAAAAAAATTGATCCGTCCCATTCAATATTTATGTTTTCCTCACATTTTTTGCATTAAGTTTAATATGTTTTCCTTTTTTGTAACACAATCACTGCGGCATATCAATGGCACCATATGAATAACAAAATGTAATAGCATTTAAGAAATGTACTTGCATGTTTGTTTTCACATTAAATAAACTTTAAAAAATAATCTTACGTTTTTTTTTAATATTCAATACCATATAATTAAGAGCATTATTTTTTATTTTTTAGTGATATTAAAAAAATCTAGTTACATAGTTGAGTTCAGTTATATATTATTATCCTGGAGCCATCATCATCATCATCATCACAGACTACCAATAAACATGGTCCCGAGCCCTCTTACCGTCACTTAATCAAGTGCGGAGCTGCCTTAGTCTGCCGGTATGTGGCAGCCGTTCTAGAATTTTTCTTCCACATCGTTTGCTGCTTTAGCTTAATACGATATATAATATAATACGTGGTAGAGCCAAGCTGCAGCTATATTATGCTTGTAGTACGAATGGGTGTGCTCGATCGGGGTAAGGACCACGACGCTCTCAGAATACTAGCGTAAAATAGCAGCTGAATGCTGCTTTGTATGTGAGTGCAGCTGTTTCGTATGGTGAGTGTAGAGAACCGTAAACCCTTTTTACTGGAAACGAGACATCCCAATTTAATCTTCAGGAGTGAAGACGTATCTGCATTTTGACCGAATATTGCGTACGTGACTGAATGCTACATACATGACCGAATGTTACGTACATACATGACCGAATGTTACGTACATACATGACCGAATGTTACGTACATACATGACCGAATGTTACGTACATACATGACCGAATGTTACGTACATACATGACCGAATGTTACGTACATACATGACCGAATGTTACGTACATACATGACCGAATGTTACGTACATACATGACCGAATGTTACGTACATACATGACCGAATGTTACGTACAGACATGACCGAATGTTACGTACATATATGACCGAATGTTACGTACATACATGACCGAATGTTACGTACATACATAACCGAATGTTACGTTCATACATGATCGAATGTTACGTACATACATGAACGAATGTTACGTACATACATGACCGAATGTTACGTACATACATGACCGAATGTTACGTACATACATGACCGAATGTTACGTACAGACATGACCGAATGTTACGTACATATATGACCGAATGTTACGTACATACATGACCGAATGTTACGTACATACATAACCGAATGTTACGTTCATACATGATCGAATGTTACGTACATACATGACCGAATGTTACGTACATGCCTTAATCTTACGAACATGACTGAAGACTGAAGAAATTAGAAACAAAAATTAATCTTAAGTGTCAATTTGCTTAGAAACTGAATTTAACATGACAGATCTTGTTATCCTTTTCTAATACCGAGATAAGAAAGGGTCAGCACCACTTCTGTGTCTATTATTCAAAGTTAGCAAACGCTACCAAATAAATAAAAAATAAAATGAAACAAATGCTTAAAAATAAATTTGGTTCTCCAAATGATTGTGCATTTTTCATAATAAATTATTTTGATAATGGTTTCTTATATTTTTTACACGAAAATATTGAATAAAACTACTTTTACGGATTTTATCGCATTTAATTGTTCTTAGTTTTAATTTCAAGTGTACAAGCTTCATTGCGAATGTGGTCTTATATATAGGGCAAACAAAACTATCTATAAAACCCGCGTAAAAGAACATTTAGCTGATGAAAGACTAACGCCCCGGAAAGTCTGCAGTTTGTGATCATATTATGATTCATAATATGATTTTTTTACTCCGGGTTAACTCTGACAACGGGATTCGGGATCACATACAACTTTATAATTTGTCATCGGGACTTCAATCACCTGAAACCCCATTACCCGAAACGTCGGGAATTTAAAATAAGAACAAACGCGATAAAATTCGTGTCCCCCGGGTGGTGCTAAACGAGCGACAAAGCCGAAACGACAGACTCGGCTCCTCGCTGTATGGTAGCGGCGTAAAATCTACCACCCCCTTAGTTCGCACCATGAGCCTAGTAGAAAAAGAAATGGCCCCGAGTTCCCGGCGCACCTTTAAT